TCACTTAAGTACCACAAATACAATCACTCCATTTTATTTAGAGAATCAAAATCAAATGGGAGAATATAATCAAAAGAAATAAACATGTAATAACAAAGATAAAAACAATGGGGAGAAAGGTGATAGAGAATTGATTTCACAGGTCATAGGGAATTGATTTCACCTTTTGAATCCATGAACAAACTACTTAATTACTCAAGATTGAATGAATTATTAATTCTATAGGCCAAGAACTCTCAAATCTCAACTGTCTCTCCCGAGCGCAAGCTAATTCTCCTTACCAATTATGAAACCAATATCCCTATCTAGTTTCTATAACAAGTAAAAACTTTATTGAACTAAGTCTTTTAACGACCTCTAAAGAACTTCTAAATCTCCTGATCTTAAAACCCTTTTAGTTATGCATCTCAGTTCTAACTCTAAACCACCTCTCCCGAACGTAAGATTTTAAGTCTAAAATCAATCAATCTATGGCCAGTAGATTCAAGGCATTAAGCATAGAGAAGCATAAGTATAATATTCATAAACATTCAATCAAAAAAACTAAACAATCAATGCATAAAGTTCAATGGCTACGTCAATCCCTAAGATAAGAGGTTTAGCTTCTCATATTAATGGTAAAACAATAAAATCACAATTAGAAGTCCATAACAAAACTAGAAAAGTCAAGGGAAAAGACAAGAAACTATGTTCAGCGCTCTTTTTTAAGCTCTCCAATGGTCTCTTTGCCCTCCAAATTGACCAAAAGGGCAAACTGCCAAAAAACCTCTCCCCAAACTCCTCCATCTCGGCGGCTACACAACCCTATTTTTATAAAAAGTTGTCGCGGCAGTGCCATGACGTTACACATGGGGCCATGATGCTACACTATTCACAAAATGCGAAATTTAAACTTCAAAGCGCCGTGGCGCTATCTTCTCGGGTTTTTAGCTTCAAAACTTGTTGTTATTCCATCTTGGGTCACTTTGATTCCGATTTTTCTTTTATTTTGATCCAAATAAGTCTTGTTTCCTCCCGATACTTTATTCCTGCAAAATATATCTTATGTGCTTAAATTTGTTATGAAGAAACGAAAAGTAACAAATAATTTAAAAAATGTAGCTCACAAGGTGATATCAATATATCTCCAACCATTTCAACTTCAATAATCATTTCGATGTGGATTATTTGGACAGAGGGAATTGCAAAAATAATATGTTGAATTACGTTTATAATCCTCTATTTAAAACCTATAAATATATAAGATCGAAGATAAGTCAAAATTTCTTATACCAAAATTAATCAATCTCTCATTATGAGATAAATTCTCCCATTTAGGGAAATTATGTGAAAATGCACAAACATATATATCTATAAGACCACCACCGTTTGTGAAAGATGAGAAAGTTGATAGAAAATACAAAATCTAATTATTCAATTGATGGAAAATAAATATACATAATTATAGGTACATTTAGTTTACGTTAAGCTACAAATTAAGTCTTTTAAACTTAAAAATTATTATATAAATATTAATGTGACATATTGATTGAACTATCAAGCGATGATTTGATATGGTAAGTCGAGCATAACTTAATGGATAAGATGCTTATTATCATTCCAAAAAGGTCGATGGTTTGATTCCTAATAATTGCTAAACTTTCAAATAAATATAATAATAAAAATAATCTATTCCATACTTATTATCATTCCAAAAGGGCGATGGTTTGATTCGCAACCATTGCTAAACTTTCAAATAAATACAATAATAAAAATAATTTAGGACTAGACTTACAATACATTCAACCTTTTTTTTTCTTAACAAGTCATGATTAAGATTTAGGTTGGATTATAGGTTTTCCCAATTAAGACATTGGGTACAAACATTAAAATGGTTACCCAAATAAGGTAGACAAGTTGAAAATGATCAAATGTTTACTTAATTTGTGAGTCAAAAATTGTTGCCATTAATTTAGTTGCTTGATGCTCTTAAGCTCAGGAAACTGTGCTATGTAGTGTATATATAAAAAGCATTATCTCTCTCACATCACAAGACCTAACCCACATATTTTGAAGAAGATAATAAAAAAGAACAGTACAAGGATCTATGCTGCAGTTTCTAACTTTAATAATGTAAGAGATTTTTGTCACTGTCAATCTCATCCTCTCTTTCAATTCTTCTATGCCATTGTCAATCATTCATTTCAACCTGTTTCCTCCCTTTCAAAACTCAAATATTTTTGTTAATTTGAACGTAGTTCAATTAGTTAAAGGATCTATAATTAAAAAGTCGTGAATTCGAATCATCACATCTATATATTGTATTAAAAAAATATATTTTAACACTTCTATTCATTATAACTTATAATTAGTCTCCATTATTCAAATCATTAACTAGATTTTCAAAAAAATAAATTATTAAAACCATAATTTTTTTTAATTTTCAAAGTTTGACTTATAGTTGGAAAATATTTTAAAAACATAAATAAAAATATAAATAGTTTTCAAATTAATAATAGTTTTCCAAATTTTAAAATTGGACAAGCATGTTGAGACAGTTTTAGAAGAAATAAAAAATACGTTCTTAGTAAACAAATAGGTGTTGAAAAGAAAAGTTTAAATCAGGTAGTTTCACATTTGTTTTGGTCTTCATTCTTTCAAACAATCTTTTCGAATAACTATATTTTCCAATGGAATTTATTTTGATTTGTTTTGTTAATCTTTTAATACATTTCATATGAACTGTCTTTTTTTTTTTTTTTTRAAAATCATTTGATACAAACCATACATGTTGATTTGTACCATATGTATGCTTAACATGAAAACTGTAGAGGCATTTGAATGAGTGGTTGAATTTTTAAAAATATTTGTGCGTATATATACATTGAAAATAAGGACAAATATCAATTGAAAAGTAATTATGAATATAGCAATTGAAAAAAAAATATAAATGACTTATAAATTTTGATAATATTATAATATTCATATACATAATTAATGATTTTTTTTTAGATAAGATAATATGATTAAACCTAGATATGCATGATTTATTAATTATTGATTGATTATAATCATGGCAATGCATTTTGTTTCTCTTTTTACTGTGTATACAATTATTTTTTAAATTCTACTTTTTGTAATGTTTTGTATCAAGTATGTTAGATCTGATTTAATCCAAAATTTAATGATTAGGATAAAAAATTTGTTGATTTGAAAATTGGAGAAAATAAAATTTAAACAAAGAAGAAATAAAATAGTTATAAAACAATTTTATTGTCTTTTAAACATAAAGGGTAAAAAAAGAAGAAAAGAAAAGAAATTCACTACAAATTATAGTGCTGTTTTCCTCTACATAGAGAGGCAAGGTTAAATTATTATCCAATCCGAAGGTTGTTTGTGTTGTGGTCCCTATTATATACACTTAAAACTTCATGATTTAGCCATCAAACCATAAAATAGGGAAGAAGTCTACCAAGCAATTTGCCAACAAATATGGCTCCAACTGGCAACATTTTAAAATGTTCTAAAAGGCTAAATTTAGTTTTCTTCATTGCAAGGAGACTTGGAGGACACAATTAAGAAGAAAAAAACACATACAAATCAAAATTCAGCATATTCTACCCAAGAAACGGGATTGGATGAGGAATTCAAGCAAATTTAAAATTTCTTTTCAAACAATGATAGAGGATTGATATTGCTTAAAAGAAAATATTTAGGCTCAACAATGACGAGGAATCTTATTCTATTAACCATTAAGTATTTGTGGTGAAATATTCAATGGAGAAATATTTTGGTGGAAGAAAATTGTGTATAAAATTGATTAGAAACGAGAAGGGCTGGAATGAGATTGTAATGGAAAAGGGACAGGCTTTTCAGAAGTAACAAAAAGCAGGTCAAAGTTATTGATACGCATACACAGAGATCAATGCTAGGCTA